AAAATAAGATATTTTTGATGAAATCCGAGAGCTTTCTGACCCTGCATAGACAGCATTGCAACTGACATATTCAAGGCCCAGAAAGGTAGTAGGACATTGTTAAAATAGTCCATGTGACATCAGTGGTTAAACCCTAATGTTATGCAGCTACGAGAATACTTTTTTTGCGCAAAGAAAACAAAAATAACGACTTGACCCAGATCCGGCATAATGACGTCATCACGCCGGATCTGGGTCCAAAGTGATGCAGTAGAGACGAAAATGTGGAGTTATTTTTGTTTTCTTTGCGCAGAAAAGTATTCTCGTAGCTTCTTAACTTTACAGTTGAACCACTGATGTTACACGGACTACTTTGTCGATCATCTTGGTACTTTTCTGGACTTTGAACGTGGTAGTTACCTTGCTGTCTATGGGAGGGTTCATCAAAAATATCTTAAATTGTGTGCCGAAGATGAACGAAGGTCTTACGGGTTTCGAACAACACGAGGGTAAGTAATTAATGACAGAATTTTCATTTTTGGGTGAACTAACCCTTTAATTTATCAACTGAAGTATGTATAATTTGATATCAACAATTCTAACGATTGTTTTGTTGTAAAATAATCAGTGGAGTAGTGTTGAGTGTGTCTTTCAAAAACATTCTTGTCATGTGCACTTCTAACAGTGAAATGTGATTTGAAAGAAATTATGATTTGAAAATTGTGATTTGAAAGAGATTAGACAATTATGTTAAATGCCATACTTTTGATGACATATCATTAATATTGTATCAAATAGGGATGTCTCTTGATTCACTCAAACCCAGGCCAAACGGCACCAAATTGTTGGAAGGACATGTTAAAGAGTCTACATGGAGTTCATTTGAAATCATGAAAATTATGGAGCTGCTTCTGGCTATGTGCCCCAGTTGAGCACTGTCTCTCCGTTGAGGAAATACATTTGATGTGATGTGTCTCGTCTCTTTGCTGTCATTGTTTTAGTGCTTTACCCTTGACTGCTTTGATCAGCTTTAAATTCAGCATTCTCTTTTGCACTCTTTCTTTTCCTTGTTGTTAGAAACTTCAAACAGCTCTCGTCCCTGTACAGCAGTCACTCCCTTCAAAGACTGCCTTTGTTATATATTCTTAAGCAGTGTTGGGAGTAACGCATTACAAAAGTAATAATATTACAGTAGTATATTACTTTTTGCTGTAACGCAGTAATATAACGCATTACTAATACAATTTGGGTAATATTTTATAATTTTATGCTATATAGACCTACCACATTACCCTCCACTGGATGTAGAATGAGCAGCATTAAACTACATTTTGGCATTTTATAATACTTCTGTGGATATTTTGGTGAAAGTAACTCAAAAGTAACTCAAAAGTAGTGTAACGCATTACAATTCAGAGACAGTAATATTGTAACGTAACTAATTACTTTCAAAAGACAGTAACTAGTAATATATAATGTATTACATTTTGGAAGTAACTTGCCCAACTCTGTTCTTAAGACAGTTTTAGTCAGCTCAGAAAGACCATTGCTATATGTAGAAAAAATAGGTCAAATTGCCAAATGTAATCAGTGGAAATATGAGATGATTAATTACTGTGGTTGTTAGATGCTTGGAGATAGACTAAATAATTCTGAAGCATTTCTTGTGTGTGGCCAGCCATGACAGCAGGACATGTTTGGTTTAGAAGCTGCATTAGCTTTCTTTAATAATCATTAAGCTCTCCTCCCTGTGGACCGGAGACCAGCTGTCCTTTGGGAAAACTGTTAACAGCTATTTGCCTGCCACTGTTGACTTAACAATAATCTTCTTCCCTCGTGTAGAAAAGCACAGTGCGTCTGAGACACGATGCCGTGATTGCCCAGAATTCTATAGCGAGAGTGATTTCACATGACTGGCGTCAGCATTATATATCGTATATATAATGAATATAATGACGTATATCCGAATGAACCGGCTACTGAAATTAGAAAAAATGAAGGGCGGGGCTTGATTTCATCCTTCGGGAATTGATTGGATCGTTGGAAGTTGGGCGTTGCTAACAAAATGAAGGCAGAAACGAGACAGACCAAGATAGCCCCGCCCTCACGCCATAGCACATGACAGGAAGAGAAGAGAAGTCGTTTCGAGGGGGGAGGGAAGGTTAACGTATTTGATTAAAGATTATGAGAGCACGTGAATTTAAAAAAAATAATGAAGTGCACAGATAAATCATTTATAATAAACAGTACAATATTACATATAAAATAAGAATTGTACATTTTGATTTCATGGCGACTTTAATACGCAATAAGCCGTGAAAAAAGTACTCAGAGTGGTGCATAAAGAAACATTTCCACTGCATCTCAGCCCTGCCACAAAAGGACCAGTTGACATCATGTCAGTGATTCTCTCGTTAACACAGGTGAGAGTGTTGCCGAGGACAAGGCTAGAGATCACTCCGTCATGCTGACTGAGTAAGAATAACAGACTGGAAGCTTTAAAAGGAGGGTGGTGCTTGAAATCATTGTTCTTCCTCTGTTAACCATGGTTACCTGCAAGGAAACATGTGCCATCATCATTGCTTTGCACAAAAAGGGATTCACAGGCAAGGATAATGCTGCGAGTGAGATTGCACCTAAATCAACCATTTATCGAATCATCAAGAACTTCAAAGAGAGAGGTTCAATTGTTGTGAAGAAGGCTTCAGGGCGCGCAAGAAAGTCCAGCGAGTGCCAGTACCGTCTCCTAAAGTTGATTCAGCTGCGGGATCGGGGCACCACCAGTGCAGAGCTTGCTCAGGAATGGCAGCAGGCAGGTGTGAGTGCATCTGCACGCATAGTGAGGCGAAGACTTTTGGAGGATGGCCTGGTGTCAAGAAGGGCAGCAAAGAAGCCACTTCTCTCCAAGAAAAACATCAGGGACAGACTGATATTCTGCAAAAGGTACAGGGATTGGACTGCTGAGGACTGGGGTAAAGAAATTTTCTCTGATGAATCCCCTTTCTGATTGTTTTGGGCATCTGGAAAAAAAGCTTATCCGGAGAAGAAAAGGTGAGCGCTTCCATCAGTCCTTTGTCATGCCAACAGTAAAGCATCCTGAGACCATTCATGTGTGGGGTTGCTTCTCAGCCAAGGGAGTGGGCTCACTCACAATTTTGCCTAAGAACACAGCCATGAATAAAGAATGGTACAAAAACATCCTCCGAGAGCAACTTCTCCCAACCATCCAAGAACAGTTTGGTGACGAACAATGGAGCACAATGGTTCCCCAAGTGGCTCGGGGAACAAAACATCAAAATGTTTGGTCCATGTCCAGGAAAGTCCCCAGACCTTAATCCCATTGAGAACTTGTGGTCAAACCTCAAGTAGCAGGTGGACAAACAAAAACCCACAAATTCCGACAAACTCCAAGCATTGATTATGCAAGAATGGGCTGCCATCAGTTAGGCTGTGGCCCAGAAATTGATTGACAGCATGCCAGGGCGAGGTCTTGAAAAAGAAGGGTCAACACTGCAAATACTGAGTCTTTGCATAAACTTAATGTAATTGTCAATAAAAGCCTTTGACACTTATGAAATGCTTGTCATTATACTTCAGTATAACATAGTAACATCTGACAAAAAGATCTAAAATCACTGAAGCAGCAAACTTTGTGAAAATTAATATTTGTGTCATTCTCAAAACTTTTGGCAACGGCTGTAGAACTCTCATCAACAGTATAAATGGATGAACCAATACCATACCTGAAACAGGACACTTTTAAAATAATAGTCCCTCTGCATTTCGTGCTTCCACACACACACACTTTTTTTGACAAGGGGAAGGGCATGACCTCCAAATTAAGTGTGAATGACGTAGACATAATGCCAGCAGGGCTCACTCATACATTATTAAAGGGATAGTTCACCCAAAAATTATTTACTGACTCTCAAATTGTTCCAAACATGTATGAGTTTTTTTCTTCTGTTGAACACAAAAGCTCTGTTTGGTGAAGCGGTCATAGCCGTGCATTTTTTATAGAGTCACATAAGAATGTAAAAATAAATAAATAAATAAAACATGTTTAACATGTTTTCCCCCATAAATGTATACATATGGTCAGGCAATTCCCAGTAAAAGTATTTTTGTACTAAACTGTACTAAAATACTTAAATACTTTATTATCTTTATGCTTTATGTAATATATTTAATCTTTATTCCTGATATCTTTATTATTTATGTTTATAGTATCTTTATTTTGTTCAATTCCTTTATTAAAAAAACATTAAAGACACACATTTTTTATTAAAGGGGTCATATGATGCGATTTCATTTTTTCCTTTCTCTTTGGAGTGTTACAAGCTCTTGGTGCATAAAGAAGATCTGTAAAGTTGTAAAGACTAAAGTCTCAAATCCAAAGAGATATTCTTTATAAAAGTTAAGAGTCACAAATGTGTGAAAAGGTACCTTATATTGGTTGCCAGTAATAGTTTTAAGTGGTCTTTTAAATGGATAATCCACCCAAAAATACATTGTCATCATTTACTAACCATCATGGCATTCCAGATGTGTATATATACTTCCTGTCTTCAGATGAACACAAAGGTAGAAAATAATTAATCTTTTTTTTTAGTCCAGGTGAATGGGTTCCCAAATGCTGATGCTCCAAAAAGCACACACATTGTTTGTGATGTGAACCATATAACACTAGTCAACGAATTGGTGTCTTTTGAAGCGAAACAAGCATCGTCATTTTTGGGTAAACTATCCCTTTATGTTTGTTACTAGCAGCAGTGTTTCCCACAGTATTTTGTCAGCCCTCAGGCCCTTAAGGGGAACAATTTTAAATAAATTCATCAATCTGGTTCACTTTGAGAAATCAAGAGCTTCAACCCTTTTTCAGTAATCCGTTTGAACAGGATTTAAAAAACCTTTGCAATTACTTGTATCAGGGCTTTAATGTGGACTTAAACCTCACTTTAGTTGATAGCGTCTTTAGTCCACATTACATTCACACTGTTATTTTCTGGAAGACAATCAAGACAGAAATGTTAGGTTTATTTGGTTACAGGAGCAATGCACATTAACATTACTGTAAATGTGCCAGAATTAAACCCTTGACAATGTAAAAAATGTCACCCTTTTTAACCTGAGAGTTATGCAAATGTGAAATTAAAGTGAATGGTACACATTGCATTCTCAGATGTAGGCTAAACTCACAGCACATATAGAGATGAAGTTTCCGGTATTAACTTGAGCTGCACGTGTGTAAATAAAAATGTCGCATAGCTTCACTCAGAAACACATAGCGCAACAAACTGTATACTTAAATTAAATCACAGCCTTTTGCATTCTGATAATTGCGCTAAGCCATATCACAATTTTAATTCGATTGACAGATGCTTGCCAAAGCAATGGCACCAAACACAATGTTAGAGATTTTTTATTATGAGATTTGTTTTCGGCTCATTATGAAACTCAGGCAGGCCACCACAGTCTAGGAAACTAATGGGAAACACTGACCTGAACTAGCCTGTTTTTTTTTTCAGTATGGGGATGATGAACTGATATGAAGAATGTGTATTATATGTAACTTCTTCCTCCAGCTCATCCCCAGCCAAGGTCTCTGGCCTTCCCTCAAAGCCCTTCCTCAGCCTAATCAAGTCCCTTTCCACTGAGGTGGAATCTCGTGAGGTTGCTCCACAGCAGATCAGCATCCGGCATTTGATGAAGACCCTGGTTAAGTCTTTGTCCACAGACACTGCTCGATCCGAGCAGGAGGCTTCATCATCTCATTGGCCCTCAGATTCCCGGCTCAATCTGCACCTCTTCAAACCTTTCACCCAGACTCGTGTTCCTGCTGTCAGTGGAGACTCCAAAACTGCTCCCTCATCCCCCCTCACCTCACCCGATAGCCGCTCCTTCTTCAAAGTTCAGGAGGTGGAGGCACGTATTGAAGACACAAAGCGTCGTCTGTCAGAGGTCATGTATGAGCCCCTTCAGCTGCTCAGCAAAATCATTGGCGAGGAACCTGGTGGCATCAGCGCAAACACTTCCACATCCACAACTGCAGGAGTCTCTTACCGGTCCAGGAACCTTTCCTCCAGCGCCTCTGAACTCTCCAACCTGTCTGCCCTCAATGGCCACTCAGAAAGCAACAATAACTATTGCATCAAGGAAGAGGAAGACCTGGAAGGAGAAAGTCCTCTTGAGGGGCCAACTGTTGAGCTGCCTTTGCACAAATCACCTTCTCTGGGCTTGGACAGGTGTTTTATGTCAACGCTTGCTCGTCAAGAAGACGAAGAGTTTTGCGAGCTCTACACTGAAGACTTTGAGCTCTGCACTGACACAGAGTTGGATGGAGAAGAGCCTTGTTCATCCCAAGTTCGACGAGGGAGTACAGGGGGATGCAGTGAAGAACCAACTGAAGGAGGGGAAGAGGAGGAGGAAGAAGATGAGCCTCCAGGAGTACCCCATAACGCACTGATTCTTCTTATATCTCTAGTTTACGGTTATTTTGTGTTACCACTTCCTACATATGTGTGTTGGGTTTTGATGGGAGTGGTGGCAGGTTTCGTGCTAGCTATTCTGGTGGTGTGGTTGTCAGCAAGAGGCAGATCTTCATGTGGCCGTCATGGCAGCTGGAGCAGAAGAGAGAAATGGAACAGGGTTCCTCTGGATATCAAAGAACCGGCCATCCACAAGGTGGGTTCCACCCTGCTGCTGAAGATGATTCTGGTGCTGTAGATAATGGTGTAGTTTTGAAGAGCTAGATGTTTACCTGGCAGCTTGCCAATATTTTTGTCTATTCACTATGCTTTTCACCATGCTTCACTGAGATATTTGATCATACCAGTTATATAATGCCTGGCATGGAAAATGTGTCATCATATTCTCAGATCTACAAATGCTAAAAAAAAAAAAAGCATAATAATAATAGCAATGAGTATTAAGTCTATCTTCCATATGCCATAGTGCTCACAAGGAATCCAAATTGTATTTTTCAGAAAGTACATTTGCTTGTTTTTTAAATGTCTCTCCACTCCAACAGTCTGTTGTTGTTGACAGTTACTTAATTTTGCTAAGCCTAGCTATTATGACTTTTCTGATGTGCATAGACTGCTTCCTGATTTGACACTTGACTGTTCATTAAAGTTGTACTAGGGTGAAGATTGTTAACCAGAGTCTTTAAAGGAGGTTGTTCAGCTACAGAAAATGGCTGAGGCCTTCAAAAAAAAAAAAAAAGCTGATAGCATAATAGCAATGAGTATTAAGTCTATCTTCCATATGCCATAGTGCTCACAAGGAATCCAAATTGTATTTTTCAGAAAGTACATTTGCTTGTTTTTTAAATGTCTCTCCACTCCAACAGTCTGTTGTTGTTGACAGTTACTTAATTTTGCTAAGCCTAGCTATTATGACTTTTCTGATTTGCATAGACTGCTTCCTGATTTGACACTTGACTGTTCATTAAAGTTGTACTAGGGTGAAGATTGTTAACCAGAGTCTTTAAAGGAGGTTGTTCAGCTACAGAAAATGGCTGAGGCCTTCAAAAAAAAAAAAAAGCTGATAACCAGCTTATCTAGTGTGGCCTGTGGCCTTGCTTGGCCTCTCCTGATAATGAAATGATCTGGTCAGTTCTGCATTGCTTGCTTGAAGTGGAAGATGGTCACATGATTGTCACACTTTGATAGTCACACTAGGTCATGGTGGATGTTGCTGATGTCATGTGTCAGTGCAGGACAACCCCTGTTTATGAGAAATTAACAATATAAACTAGGGTGTCACATGATAGCACACCTTTAAGCTAAGCTTTAAAAAAAAAAATCACTGTGTACACTACCATCATGATTTAGAGAAGCTGAATCTCTGTCTGGCCATCTGAGATGTCAGTTTGGATATAAAGGTTAGGTTCATGATATTTTTTTCAGTAGTACTACAGCACACAGTGAGTGTATATTAGTATAATTTGTAGTTTACTTGTTTGGAGACGTTATGTCAGAATGAACTACTTTATAGCAGCCAGGAATGCTCATAATCAGGCTTATTATCATCACCGTCACCACTTAATCTGTAGCCATTTCTCTAAGCTGAACTGAAGCAAAGAGGCACCAGATCGTTTTTGGTAAAGCTGTTATCCTTATCATTGGCTAGGTCCTTGATTAACTCATGAAGTAAAATCTTACAAATGAAGAGGTTTAGAACATTCAGGGATGTTTTTACTAAAATCACCACAATTTAATTAATCTGAAAAAAGTACAAATCAATTTATTTTTATTTTTCCAGCTCAAGAGCGATAACAATCAAAATCCATCCAATTTTTAAAAAAGCACATGCTGCAGTGATATTGACTACAGCACATAATTGCAGTGCATGCTTAGAATAAACAAAAAGTTGTTGTCTGCTGGATGCTGAAACAGTTATAATAGTAAAACAGTTACTTCAGTTAAAATATTTCTATATATTTATTGTTATAGTTTTTAACCTGACTGATTAAGTGGAAGAGAGTAATGTGTGGTACGGGTACATTGTTACAGGCTGTAAGGCTGAGCGTTGTCATTTTGCCTGAGCTGTGTAATATTATCAGGCCTACCTTTGTTTATCTGACTGCCCATCCTTCAGCCAACAAAGGCAGTACAGTCCTTCCTCATACTTGATTACTTAACAGTGCTGTAATTAATTTAATTTTGGCCATGTCATTTTTATTATTTTTTTATTAAGATGTATTTTTGGCATTTTTTGCCTTTATTTTGATAGGACAGTTAGTTGACAGGAAGTGAAGTGCCAGAAAGAGAGGGGAGACTGGATCGGGAAAGGTCCCCGAGCCGGGACTCGGACTCGGGATGCCCGAAGTGCAACGGTGCTAAATATGTCAGCATGCTGCCCACGAGGCTATTGGCACCGACTCCTTGTAGTGTTTTTATTTACGTGTCCTGGTCAAGCAATGCTTTTCAGGGGTAATTTTCTCCATTTTTGCCTTTAGGGGCCAAGTACTGAAGTGGTGTTCATAAGACTTATCAAATGGTTAAAAAAAAAACTAATAATCACTTACTATTTTCTTTTATATTGGAAAAAACAAACAACAAAAACATTTAGAATGGATTGTTTTTTGTATTCAGAATTATTCATAACATTGCAGTTTTTCCACAAATGTGTTCATTCTCAACTTGAAATGTTTCTCAGAATGTGGAAGCTGTATATGGTGTGACATAATGGATAACGGTCTGACTTGTAGCCCAACAAATGAATGCAGTGTAGATTGTGCTTGGTCCCTTATTTACTACTTATTTTTGTGGTCCATTTGTTTCGTTGTAAAAATTTCTGTGCTTATGTACTCAGGGTTGGATGAATGAGATCTACAGCTATGACCCTGAGACGTATCACGCCACATTCACTCACTCTGTGTATGTGCGTCTGGAGGGCTCTGTCCTGCGACTGTCCAAACCTAACCGCAATATCCCCCGCCGGGCAACCTTCAATGAGCTCAAACCTGACGTCACCTATGTTAGCCAGAAAATCTATGATCTCACCAACAGTAAGGTGGGTGGTACACACGATCTCTCAGTGCACAACCTGTTTTGTTGTTTTAAATTTCTGTAATTAATTTAGCCCAGAGCACTTAATGTACAGGCCCCATTCAAACTTTAGTTTTTTTTGTTTGTTTGAATCACTTACTATTTTCTTTTATATTGGAAAAAACAAACAACAAAAACATTTAGAATGGATTGTTTTTTGTATTCAGAATTATTCATAACATTGCAGTTTTTCCACAAATGTGTTCATTCTCAACTTGAAATGTTTCTCAGAATGTGGAAGCTGTATATGGTGTGACATAATGGATAACGGTCTGACTTGTAGCCCAACAAATGAATGCAGTGTAGATTGTGCTTGGTCCCTTATTTACTACTTATTTTTGTGGTCCATTTGTTTCGTTGTAAAAATTTCTGTGCTTATGTACTCAGGGTTGGATGAATGAGATCTACAGCTATGACCCTGAGACGTATCACGCCACATTCACTCACTCTGTGTATGTGCGTCTGGAGGGCTCTGTCCTGCGACTGTCCAAACCTAACCGCAATATCCCCCGCCGGGCAACCTTCAATGAGCTCAAACCTGACGTCACCTATGTTAGCCAGAAAATCTATGATCTCACCAACAGTAAGGTGGGTGGTACACACGATCTCTCAGTGCACAACCTGTTTTGTTGTTTTAAATTTCTGTAATTAATTTAGCCCAGAGCACTTAATGTACAGGCCCCATTCAAACTTTAGTTTTTTTTGTTTGTTTGTTTGTTTGTTTGTTTTTGTTTTTATGTAAATTAAGGTTTGAAAATCTTTCTTTGACTCGAATTACAGAATGTTTCTATAAGTGAATTATAAAATGTGACACAGAATGTTTAGTATTTAAAATGTTACTGACAAACAGGGTGCCATAATATTTCTATAATGAAACTGAAACTTTTCTTGCACTTAAGCATCTGTGATACAGAATTTCATTTGCACAGAAAAAAAAGTGTGAAATCTGAACGTTTCTAAAACAGTTATTTTGCCAAGCTTTTTTTTTTTTAAAACAAAACTTATTAAACCCTTTAAATGCATACTATTTAATCAAATGAAGGTTACATTTGAGTTCTTGTATTACAGATCTACCTGGTGCCTCATAGCCTGGCCAGGAAAAGGGTGTGGAATAAGAAGTATCCCATCTGCATTGAGCTGGCCAAGCAGGATGACTTCCTGGCCAAAGTGCAGGGAGATAAGTCTGATGTGGTGGAGGAGAAGACCCCTGCAGTAGGAGACCGGCCCGAGGCTGTAGGCACTAGTGAAGAACCTAAGAGAGTGCACACAGAACCTGTACTGTACCTGTTTGGGAGGACAGGAAGAGACAAAGAGGAATGGTTCAGAAGGATGCTACTTGCGTCCAAGCTGAAATCCGATGCCAAGAAGCCCTCTGGCCTGCCTACAAGTAAAAAATTTACAAATGGTCCTTTATTCAAATCATTAGTACTTTCATTAAGAAATAGTATTATTGCAATGATAGCACAATAGACACTTTTGAAATAAGTGTATATATATATATATATATATTCACACACATAATAATAAAAAAAATCATAAAAAAGAAAATAGATTTACAGTGTAAATGACTGGAAACGCATCGTCACAGTCTGTGAAAAGGGTCCATAGAAAGTATTTTTTTTCATGAATGAGAACCATTGAACGGACTATACTTTTATCCATAGTTTTGTTTTTTTCCAAATTAATTAATTACGTAATCAAGTCGTATTATCTCTCTCGGCAGGCTGTCTGTCTCATAGCCGCAGCAGCAGTCGTGGCAGTCTGGATGAAATGTTCCAGTCTCATCCCAGACAAAAAGACCTTGATGCCAGTCTCAAACAGAAAGTTCTGGAATACAACGTCTACATGGCCAAATATGTCAGCCAGTCTGCAGGCAGCCCCACCACAAGCCCTGATCAGAGTGCTGGAAGCAGCCCGGGAATCGTGAAAAAGGTCCACAATATTTCACAATGTCCATTTTCCGAAAAACCGTAATCTTTCATTTAAAAACCAGACATCAGTTAAACCAACTCTACCTATCAAATACTGAGACTTGTACATCCAGACTTTGACAATACCCATGTTTCCATCCACTTTTTATGTGAATTTTGAGATACTGCATTAAAAATGCTGGATGGAGATAGCAATATGCGCATAAAGTCTTAAAATGTGCATTAAAAGCTTGTACACTCAGTTGAGCCAGATACATTTTTAATCCCATAAGACAACATGCATAAACAACAATGGAAACATTTACTGAATAAATTTGGTGCAACAAAAGACTTTGCCTCAACAGATGATGTGACTGGATAAATGGAATAACTAGAGCACCAAACTCATCACACACATGTTGTTTTAATCATTCTGAAATGCCAAAATCCGTCATCAAAATTATTTGGTATAATTACCTCCCAGAACTGTTTCAAACGATCACGTTCCCAAACATCAGGCATACGAACACAAGTTAACATGACCGCTTTTGTTATTGTGTTTCGTTTGTGTCGCTCTGAGGTCATTTATGTAGAAAAAAAAGAGTCAGAGGCTGCCCCAGTTGCAGCAGCTTTGTTTTTTATTATTGATACTTGTGGCAGTTTCCCTGGAAGTGACTATTTTGTTCTCTTGAGTACATGGGATGGAAACGGTGCTTTATTCTCGCAAATGTTTTATGCAATATTCTAATTAAGTTTAATGTATGTTTGTCACACAGTTTCCAGCCAGTCGTGAGCAGGAATCTGAGTCTGAAGCCTGGGTCAATGCACTTTTAGGTCGCATTGTCTGGGACTTTCTTGGAGAGAAATACTGGGCAGATGTGGTGTCCAAAAAGATCCAGAAAAAGCTGAGTAAGATCAGGGTGAGAACGGTTAGGTTTATATCTCACACCAGACTGTCTGACTGCGTATTTGATTAAAAGAGTAACTTATTGTCTTGATTATTACAGCTGCCATACTTCATGAATGAACTGACCCTCACCGAGCTGGACATGGGAATATCTATTCCTAAAATCCTCAGCTCCTCCAAACCATCTGTAGATCACAGAGGTAAGGCCTGGTCTGTAATCCTGATTTATGCTTACTATTGCTCATACTGTTGTAAAGGAAAAGTGATTAGCTCAAAAGGGGGGACAAGTCCTGCATAATATATCCCACCCATTAACAGGTGCCGTGATGAAGAATGAAGAGATAATCAGTGTTATGCACTTTACCTTTCTGTGGTCATAATGTTATGCCTGATCGATATGTGTATGCATGTATATGTGTATATACAGTGGGTACGGAAAGTATTCAGACCCCCTTAAATTTTTCACTCTTTGTTATATTGCAGCCATTTGCTAAAATCATTTAAGTTAATTTTTTTTCCTCATTAATGTACACACAGCACCCCATATTGACAGAAAAGTGAAAAATTTAAGGGGGTCTGAATACTTTCCGTACCCACTGTATATATATATATATATATAGTGAAATATTGAGCCTTACAAGAAACCACTATGGACAACCACTAGCAACCACTTTGACAGTGGCTCAGAAGCTACCAGAACACTGTAACACATGGATAGCAACTTTACTGTTTATGCATTTGGCAGACACTTTTATCCAAAGTGACTTGGATTGCATTCAGGGTACACATTTCATCAGTTCATGCCTTCCCTGGGAATCGAATCCATGACCTTGGTGTAGCACTTGTTCTACTCTTTGAACTGCACGAATGCTGTAATGCTAAAATCACTTATAGAAGACTTTGGCAACAAACATGGGCCCATAGCAAGAATCGCCAGGTTACATTTTCACACAAGGTGCCTAACATGGCTTTAAAAAATTAATAAACACACAAGGTGCCTAACAAAATTTTACTTTAAGTGTGGTTCTTTCAGCAGTGTCATGAGACCTTGTTCATCTCTTTATTTTACTGCTGATAAAAAAAAAAAAAGTCTGTAAATGATACTATAAATGATTCTGTAAATGATACTCAAATCATTTTCTGTGGACTATCCTGCAAAACCATTAGATGTGCCTTGGCCACAGTCAAGCTATATCTGCACTGTACTGATGGAGCAGCACCCCTACAGTGAGTCTGTGTGATTTGGTAAATGACTCCTGCCAGTTTGTTAAACTTCTCGTTCGTCATAGAGGAAGCAGCCCACTGAGCTCAGAGGATCAGTGTGTCTCTGAGCCAATCAGAGTGGAGCAAACTCAAGTACTGACCTTTCACTCACTCAGGAGGAAGTGTGCATAATGACTGCATGGCTTTCAAGATTTCCGGGGGTTCACTAGTGACTCCTGTATGAATTTAATCGGTGTAAACACATGCTGGATGCAGAATTCCAGCCCGCTTGATTTGGTGTAGAGTGTTCAAATCAGGCAAAGTTGAAGGAAAGAAGTGCTTTGCTTGTTTTCAGGGGACAAGCAACTGGTGGCCTATTGTGTCAGAATAGTAGAGAATCAAAGCAATCATGTTTTTTGGGTTAGTGAAACTTGATGAAATGATGAAAAAGTATCAATTATATAATTTAGATATATTGATTTCAAATGGTAAAGTTAGAGAATCACAATGATTATTCTCTGGGAAGAGTTTTGGGTTTTGTAAGTGGAACACGCAAATGACACATTTTTGTTATTAATGCACTGACATTGAGACCATTTTGTTGGGACCACTGTATAAACTACTGTTTGAATTTCCATTGGTAGGCCTTTGGTTTGACTTGGAGATCTCGTACAACGGTTCCTTTCTTATGACTCTTGAAACCAAGATGAACCTGACCAGACTGGGAAAGAAGGAGGGGGAAGGCCTTGGAGAACAGGGAAAAGAAGGGTAAGAGCATTTCAGAGAACATTTCAGAAGACAGATGTTCCTCATCTCTTGTTCTAAATATCTGAGTTTATTTGATGGGTTATTTTTTCTTTGGATGTATTCATCATTTACACTCTTTTACTGTTTCCTCTGGACTGATTTCTTTTTGGATGTGAACTCTTAATGGTGAGTTGAATCAGGGCTTTTCTGAAATCTCTCACTGTATTGTACATTGCTGCTGCTTAGAATTTAGCTCCATATATTAAACTGATAGACACTTCACCACTGAAACACCACCACATCCCCGCATGTGCTTGCAGAAGTTGTGTTCTAAGCCCTTGAATAAGCTTCACATTGCATTCTGGGATTGAGATGAGTGATACGTGTGATTGTGCATTTGTGTGTGAAATATGCAGACGATACCTAAAAGTGTTACAGCTCTCTGAGGTTCGGAACAGACCTTTCATCTTTATGAAGAAGTGCTTTTTTTTGACTGTGTATCGACTGTGTAAAGGACTTTAGTATAGGTGTTTTGCAGCTTTGCAACTTCCCTTGCTTTCAGAAAACCAGTTATCATAGAAACATGCTGCATAAGCCTTTGTTTGTTTGTGTGCATGGACCAGACCCAGACCACGCACTTACTTCCTGGCTGACAGTGATGAAGAGTCATCGAGTGCAGGATCTTCTGATGAGGAAGATGCTGTGGAAGTGCCTGAAATTCCAGGAGTGGAAGGGTGAGATTGAGAATCTTTCCATTTCCGTCTGTGTTTAATTTGGGATATTGTTACCAGTTTAGCAGCCCAACATAGAGTTCAGGCACAGAATCTGTCTATGGGTTGAAGATGGCTGCACACCTGGAGATTACTCTGGCAGAACTTACTGCATGAATAATTGGCTCGTGGCTTCTTTTCTTCACAGTTATGTTGGGGGACACAGACCCAGCAAAATCATGCGCTTTGTGGACAAGATTGCCAAGTCTAAGTATTTCCAGAAAGCCACGGAAACTGAGTTCATTAAGAAGAAGATAGAGGAGGTGTCCAATACACCGCTGCTCCTGACGGTGGAGGTTCAGGAGTGTCGAGGAACACTAGCTGTCAACATTCCACCACCTCCAACAGACAGGATATGGTATAGCGCTTCCTTCAATATCCTCTTCACATTACTACTGCACAGAAATAAAATCTGATAGTATCTTTGGGCATCCTACAAGTTGCTAGCATGCCATCTGCTGGTCATTATTCAGTACACGCCAAGATATTTCATGCATCTATACAATACAATACAATACAATACAATACAAATGTTATTTCAATAGCATATTTAAAACAACTGCCGTTGACCTAAGTCTTTCCAGCATCATTAATACAACAAAAACAATGACATAGTCACACAAACAAAAAATAAAAATGTAATCCTGATCACTCTAATCAATTCTAAAAGCTATACTAAAAAGATATGATTTCAATCTAGACTTAAAAGCATCCACAGATGGACAAGATTTAATGTGCATTGGAAGAAGTTTCCATAATCATGGGGCAGCCACTGAAAAGGCCCTATCACCCTTTTATTTTAATCTAGTTTTAGGAACATGAAGAATCATCTGACTCGAAGATCTCATATTTCTTGTCTTTTGATAAGGTATCAAAAGGTCAACAATATATGTTGGGGCAATACCATCAACAGAACTCGATTCTAAATTGTACAGGCAAGAAACCAAAACTGGGATAATTCTCTGTGTGAGTCAAAAGTCTAGCAGCAGCATTTTGCACTAATTGAAGACCAGATAATTGACCCTGTAAGATACCTATATATAAAGAATTACAGTAGTCAATGCGTGATGATACAAAAGCATGAATAACAGTCTCCAGGGCCTTAAAAGAGAGAATTGATTTCAATTTAGAAATAATTCTGAGTTGATAAAACCCAGCCTTAACAACACTAGTAACCCGTTTATCTAAAACCAAATCAATGAATCCCAAATTCTTGACATGATCTGAAACACTAATCTTCATAGAGGCCCAACCTACTTATAATTTCCTAAGAAGCACAAGAGGGTCTAAAGACAACACACCCAGTCTTATTAGTATTAAGATGAAGAAAATTGCTTCCCAACCAGGCTTTAATCTCACCTAAACACTGAACAAGACTTTTGGATCTATTGGAATATATACCTGGGTGTCGTCTGCATATAGATGATACATAATGTTATACTTATATATATATATATATGGGCCCTTCAGGCTCAATTTTTTGTATCAAAAATAAAATAGGCCCAAGTATAGGCCTGTGGCACACCACTATGTAATTTAGCTGATGTAGAACACATCTCCAATGCCAAATGAAAATGATCTATCCTTTAAATATGACTTAAACCAATCTAAGGCAGTACCCGTAATACCAACATCTTCCAAATGCTGCAATATAATACCATTATCAACGGTATCAAATGAGACCTAAAACCTGACTGGAACATACAGTATAACAGCATTCGTACAAGATTGGGTTTTAAAATGCATTTAAATGATTTTATTGCATGATTGAAGCACATGAAACCTGTAAAGAACATGTCCAGGATATATTTTAGCTTAAAATTTAAAAGAAATTATATTTTGCTTAAATAACATGAAGCCATTTAGGGCCATTAAGATTTTTTTGTGTCTTTGCAGGGTGCCTAATTGTCAGAAATACTGCCAAGTATATTTATTTTTTAGAACTCAAAAGTAAAACATCTGGACATAAAAGGTCCTAAGGTGAAATGTCACGTGGACATGTTCCTGAAATTTTTCAGAGTAAAGATGTGAATGTGGACACATGTGGATGTTTCCATTTATTTCAGGTATGGTTTCAGAAGTCCTCCTCATCTGGAACTGAAAGCTCGGCCTAAACTGGGCGAGAGAGAGGTTACTTTTGCTCATGTGACCGACTGGATAGAAAACAAACTCAATCAGGAGTTCCAGGTATGCATATGTGAACTTAACGTGAACACCAATATAGTCTTCCATGGATATCATTATGAATGCAAAATCAATTGCATTATAAGAACATGAAAACGTTTATTTTTAAATACTGAACATGCACATTAAAGTTGTAAAATCAAATTAAAATGCATTCATTTATTTTCATAAATATTTCTGTAGTTGTAATTTTCAGCAGGATTTTAAAGAATTTGGTAGTGTAGTGTAGACACGAGTGTCTAGATGTGAACAGTGATCATTGTTCAATGAATTGACTCTATATTACAAATGATAGAATTACTGTATAAAGTACATAATTTTAACATCAGACTAAATTGACAATATTTTTCAAAGGTGTTATAGGATAAAAAGAATTGCCATTCATTAGTGCAGGGGTTCTCAAATCTTGCCCTCGATGTTCACCTTAATGCAGAGTTTAGCTCCACTTAATCAAAAACCCCTTTGAGTTAGTTTGATCAAGGTTACAGCTAAACTGCAAAAAAAGTGGACCTTGAGGGCCAAAACTGAGGTTCCCTGCTTTAGTGGTTTTCTCTCGGTAATTAAAAGCTGCAAACCCATCATTACCAGTTTGGAGCCAAATAGTTTGTGTATAAGTACATAAGGAGCTCATAGATGAGATCTCTGAATGTATAATTTGAATAACAATCATGCAAGCACCTTCGGTTACACTATTTTTATGGTGTTCTTTTTACAGTCCTGTTATTACTATAGTAAGTACAAATAACATGTAACAAGGACACTGTAAAATAAAGTGTTAGAGCACCTTCAAATTTGTGGTAAAAGAGATTTTGCCAATTTCCCCATATTTGTTTGCGGTTATTAGACAAGGTTTTTATTTTTGTCTTCCTACTTGCTCTTCTTGACTCTCTAATGCTTCCTACCTTACGCAGAAAATATTTGTAATGCCAAACATGGATGACGTCTGGCTGCCTATCATGCACTCTGCCATGGACACGCGTTCCAATGCCAATGCCTTGAAGAATGAAGAATCCTTGGACCCTGAGGAGTCCCTTGAGGACATGTGAAGATTAGTTACTGTATCAAACAAAAGATAAACACTTCAGTCCCATGAGGGCAGGACTGTACCTGAGTTGAAAATTACAGGTGCCATATTGCCCATTGAACAGAGCTGTGAAAAATCTGAACACATCAATAACTAAAAGAAAGGACAATATTGCTTGCTTGCATTTGATTTCTTCGGTACAGTATGAATAAATATGCTGTTGGCCCTCAAACAGGATAAAGAGGTTTTGGTGACATACTAAAATGCATACAGGTGATGTTGACACAGCAGTAGAACACTTGTATGTGACTAGGTAAAGTGTATACGCTACCTCTGTTTGATGCACGCTGACATACCAAACGTCCTAGTGTCGCATGATAGAACCTAAACTCTCTCCTCCAATAGCCTAACGTCTAGTCGGCAGATAGGAATTACAACCCGAGGGCTTTCACTGGACTTTTGGGATGACAGGGTGCCTGCAAACCACCTGGAGGGTTAAAGCATTTGGGGTCGTGCATCCTTGGGATGTATAGAACGTGCTATAAACACCAGTAACGGATGAATCTAGTCATTTTAACAGAAACTCTAAGCCAAAAGGGGGCATTTCCGAGATTTGCACCCTATTTATGATTTTCCCGTGATTGTCATATGCTTCTAGCAGCAAATAACTTAGACACAACAGACCTACTAGTACCACCATTATCCTCTTCCATTCACCGCTGCCTGAGCCCTATGTGTGGCGTCTGATTATGCAATTAGATCAATTTCACTGTGCTCAAGAGGGACACCAGCCAAATAACCTCTCATCCCCAAGCCATTCCTACTCAAGCGGACTATTTTAGAGGATAGGGTTCAAGAGCTTTCTAAGCGAGATCTCTCCAATCATCACCCCTCTGCAATGGCCGTAGATCAGTGGTTCTCAAATGGTGAGTCGTAGGCCTGTTCTCAGAGAACAGCAAGGGATAAAGGTACAAAGTTAGGTCAGCAAGATAAATAGGCCAATCTTTTAAAAGAGAGGGGAAAGACTTCTCATATCTTCCTAAAGTTTGAGTTTGTCATCTAATAAATTCTGGCATTTTTTGGTACAAATTCATGCCACAGAACTCAAACAGATCTGTCTATTTGTGGAGCAACCTGAAGGCAAATTCGCCATAGGTTGTAAATTCTACTGGTTTTTCGAAAGGTGTTTTATGATTGTACAAGTAAAATAAGATCTGTGGTGAACATTACTAAAGAGGCTTTCACATTTTTACATAAATTACACTCAAATGAGAATTTTAAGCCATTGTGTTTTTAAGTTGCTAAATAAAGAGTACGATCCATAACCTAAATTTAAAAAAAGCTAATTCTCTTCAGGGTTTTTGAACTGAAGATTGAACAGACTAAAGAACAGACAGACAGATGCGAAAGGACTATATGTATGGCCTGCCCTCGCCTTTAAAAACCATTAATGAAACTGCACAAGGTGTATAAAATACAACCCGACTACATTATATATGATCTATATATTTGTGCTGACCACAATGTTTCTTATTCAGCCTGTCTTGTAAACAACTTTGTATATTTTTGGGCAGTTAATGGTAATATTCGTATATTTTAGTGTTTGATTTGAAAGGTATTTTTTTGTTTACTTTTGAATGAGAATCAATTTGGACTGTGTTGGGATGTCCAATCTAGAATCTGGGTCCTGAAGCAAAATCGGTTGAGAACCACTGGGCTACGCCTCACATTGCATGTCAGATCAAGGCTCAAAATAAGTGCTATTCTATTTCCAACACAGATTAACTCATGTGTTTTGTATGTGAAGAAGATTGTTGAATGTACAAACGGTTCATATTTTTGTCTACCTTGTTTGGCATAATGTGTCAAGTATTGCTATCTGTGGTCGCCGTCAGGTAGACTTTTTTTTATTATTATTTACTGTGCTTGCAGGCCAATGGTGTATTAAATCATGTAGGTAGTTTCTGTTGGTTAAAAGTGGCAAGTGAACTTTGCCATCTAAAATATCATGAGATTTGATATTCTTCCATTGTCAGATACTTAGGTATTGACAGGTCTGAAAAAGTGTTTATCCAACATCACAAGTTCTGTATCTTAGCTGCCGCTAAGGTTTAAGTGAACATGAATTATGGCTTTTCCACCTCCATTTTGGACTCAAGTCGAAGTATCAATACTACATGTAGTTTGATTTCAATGTGTTTATTTTGTATCACTGTTTATGCTACAATTATTACCATTCACAATTGATCTTTTGTGTGCGCTCTGCCAATTGCTATTTCCTTTGCGCAATATTTCATTTGAATATTGTATTCTGCCATATTGACAACATGATTGTGTGTGGAAATTGATAAACTGCTTTTGCAAAAATAATTCCTGAGGCATTTTTTCAAAAGCTGTTTGTACTTCAGATTTATAAAGGTTGTTGATTGGTTTTGAAAGAGCAACTCCAAGAGGCTCCAGTTATAACAAGCCTTTGCTTGACCCTTTGAGCCATGAAGGGGCTCCATAGGTTCAAAGACAGTGCTCATATACAACACTGAAACAAATGAAATCTACCTTTGTGGGCCTCTTACTCAGATCTACTATCACCCCCCTGTTCAACACCCCTTTATACAGAAGAACAATTAAGGAAAAATGCATATACATACAAAAAGTTGTCGACTGCTTTTAAAAGAGCAACTTGGGGGGGAAATTCCAAGAAGCTCCAGTTATAACAAGCTTTTACTGTTGCACTGTTGCTTGACCCATTGAGCCATGAAGGGGCTTCACAGGTTCAAATACAGTGCTTACATATATATATATATATATATATTTATATAATAAAAACACTGCAATACATGACACACACACAAGCAAAGACGTGTATTTTGTTTATGTATAGAAACAAACAGGATTGTGCAATTTTGTTACATCCACATAAAATATTACAATACAGAATAAGTTATACATTTGCAATAACCACAGCCATTACAATGAACATAGTGAGGAACATTCAAACCTCTGCCTCTTCCAATTCACCTTCTCTCCCTGTTGCAAAAGAAAATGCCATCATAAACGTTCATTCCAGCTTCAAAATCAAACAGATTGCAGTTGAAATTCACCAGTCTTGTCAGAGATTTGATTTGACATCAGTGATGTTCAGCAGTCTAACGCAGTAAACACATCATTCCAGACCACACAAACTGAAAATGTTTGATGCAATGAAGTCAGGCCTGGTCTTACCTAGAATCACTGGCCACAAAGTCCACTGTAACTGTAAATAACTCTAAAAGAGGGACAAAAACAAAATCACTGATGTATTATAATTTAGCAAACATTAATGTAGCTTTATTAAACACTCTTTAATGTAATTTCACAGTGAATGAGAGCAATGGCGCAAACACGTGCTCATGAACACACCACGTGCTCACATTTCTAAAGTACAGCCTAAAATATGAACAATATAAATTATAGACTTAAAACAATGTTCCAATTATTTTAAACGAATACAATCTCATGTCAAATTTAATATTAAATACACTCTTTATCAGCGGATACACTACATTCTACCGGAAATAGTAGTCAACAAGATCTAATTTGTTCTTCAGAATCAACGATAAACTAGCTTTCCTCAATTTTATCACTCCTGGGCTTATCATTCATCCGAGCTCTCTTAACTGCGGTAGGAGAAGTGAGACAAAAAATAATAATAATTCAATCTAAACTGCTGCTTTCCAAATGAGCCCCACTCTATTCGGTCTACGAAATGAACTGCGCTTCAGACTAGTTCTTCTTCTTCTTCTATCTTTCCGGCAGTGTAGACGCTACTGGGCGTATTACTGCCCTCGACAGGTCAAAGTTTGAACTAAATTCTTATATACAGTCCTGTATTATCTATGCAAGAACTGAAGAACTGCCTCAGAGATCAGTTTATGCTTATCACTGTGTCAAATTGAAAAAGGTTAGAGAAAAACGTACTGTGCCATGGTACAACAGTAATACCCATTCTCTCAAGAAAAAAACTCGTAGTCTTGAGCGCAAATGGAGTTTAATTGATTTTTCCGTACATTTCTGCCATATGTACATTGACTGACAGTCACCACTGATAAGCTACCATTAAATATTGTAGAAACTTAATTTGCTGTAAAGTTGCTTTGCAATGATTTGTATCGTGAAAAGCGCTGTACAAATAAACTTGAATTGAATTGAAAAAACTGTGTCCAAACAAAGAAGTAACAGAAAACACTTCAACGCCAAGTTCTGCCAATTTATCAAAAAGTGCTTTTCTTTGTATATTATACTTTCTTCATTCCAAGAAAACATGCCCTACTGTTTCCATATTCCCACATTCACATAATCCAGAAATATGCTTTCCTACAATATACAAAAAGTAATTTAACCCACAGTGCCCCAACCGTTCTGGGAACATTACTGAAAAGGACGTTCCCCTAATGTTACTATTTGATTCCCAAAAAACTAGCATTAGGGAAATATTCTGTGTTTGCTGGGTATCTGTTGATCTTTATCTCTCAATGATTGTATGAACATATAAACCTGTGTAATATTAATAATAATATTGAAGTAAATTAGTCACACTAGTCTTCTTCTTCTTCTTCTTCTTTCCGGCAGTGTAGACGCTACTGGGCGTATTACTGCCCTCCACAGGTCAAAGTTTGAACTAAATTCTTATATACAGTCCTGTATTATGCAAGAACTGAAGAACTGCCTCAGAGATCAGTTTATGCTTATCACTGTGTCCAAACAACGAAGTAACAGAAAACACTTCAACTCCAAGTTCTGCCAATTTATCAAAAAGTGCTTTTCTTTGTATATTATACTTTCTTCATTCCAAGAAAACATGCCCTACTGTTTCCATATTCCCACATTCACATAATCCAGAAATATGCTTTCCTACAATATACAAAAAGTAATTTAACCCACAGTGCCCCAACCTCAATCTACAGTTTAACTGAGTCCCTACGGGATGGACAAGTACAAAAACATATTTTCCTAACTTTCTTCAGACTAGTTCAGTGAGATGTTCTTTTTATGGGGAGACACCAACCTCCGCGCTCCACTTGGCTCAGAGCCGTAAAGTCAGAGAGAGAGAGAGAGTTGCGACAACGGAAGTTCTGAACGCTCGATCGTCACGTGATTCACGTAGACCTCAAATAGTTCCAGGAAGTTCATAGCGGGCACGGGCAGTTGGAATACATTGAGTTAAGAGAGACAGAACTGCGATTTTTTTTTGGTAATTAGTAGACTATAAAGTAATTTATTTAAATTATTTATATAAATAATGTATACATTTATGCGTAGTATATAGTTGTATCAGTGTTGTTTTTAAAAGATAAAATCCGCTAATATTTGAGGATTAATTTGGTCAGCTATCCTTACCTGCCTTGTTAACATATTTTATGCTGACGTTACCATGGTAAAAGTCCATGTTTGCTATATATATACGACATCGTGGTCTTTTACCAAGGTAACTTCAGCCTCTCTCAGGGTTCCTACGTTCCTAAGTATGGAAAAGTATGGAATTTGATTTAAGTAATTTCCAGGTCTGGAAAAGTATGGAAAAAAGAAAGCGGAGTATGGAAAAATATTTGCATTTCCAGACTTTTGCCCCTATTTAGTTTTTTATAATAGAAATTTAAGAATTTAATGAAAATAAGTTTATCATACAAGAAGTGGTAGCTGTTAATGATTGTCAAACACGACTGGTGCACTTTTTAATTTTGCATTTTGGGTTTCTTCTCACGATATTCTTAGCACCATATTACATAGCCTCAAGGACCTTTGAAAAAATAAAAAATATACAGACTTTTATGTGCGCACGAGAAACCATTACACTTAGCATACAGGACAATGCATACTGAGCCACCTATTGTGCCATCAGCCCATTTCGCCCCATCCAACAGACCCAAGCCACCACCGCACTCCTGTCTAGTGGACTGCAGAAAGATACTAACTTTTCAATCTGCTACGTTACTGACTGTACTGACAAACTATGCTGACACACCATGTCTACACTGGACCACTGAAAACCACAAAGCGACCACTGAAAATCATTTGTACTTTGTGTCAGTACGTCTTACATAGAGCGATGAACGAGGCATCAGTTTACTGTCAGGATTTGTCATGTCGCGCCGTGCTGCATCCAGTGTAGAGACAGCATCACTGATTATAATGGGTTCTATTGTATTTTGTCACACCGCGCTGCGCCACTCGCGTCCGGTGTACTAAAAATATATATTTTGCCATAAGTAAAAGTTATTACATAAAAAAAAGGCTAAATGTAGGCTTTATATGAAAGACTTATGTACACTGAAAAATGATTAGAACATTTTTTTAAGGTAAGTGGTTGCAAACAATTTATTTTAGCTACATTTAAATTAAAAAAATGTACATTTGACAATATATATACGATAAACAAATAAAATTTGTTTATTTAAATGTAGCTAAAATAAATTGATTGCAACCACTTTCCTTAAAAAAAAATTGTAAATTCAATGAATAATTTTTTCCCCGCAGTGAAATATAGTAAATATTAGTAAATATATAAATAGTAAGTATATTTACTATTGTTTGTGTATTAATTTGATTAGCTTTTAATTAGTTATAATAACCTATAGCCCTGTACTCTATACAAACATATTTTCTCCAAAAACATTATTTAAAAGAAAAAAAAGTTGTTTCAAGTCTGTTCAACATGATGCAGTCGTGTTTGAACGGGAAACCTGATATAATGGTGTTAAATCAAAAGGAATTGTTTAAATAAAGTGAACAGCATTACATTTTTTTTTCTCAGTGAGCAGTGTTCTTT